CCCTTCCTGATGTACTAGTGCTCAAGCCCTAGAAATGATTTTATTCTCTTAGCAATGACTCGCAAGAGATACCTGAAACCTTTTGAGTTTCTGAATCTAAATAACCATAAGAATTAGTACTGATGTGGGAGTATGGTGCCACCAGCAGGTCAGTCTGTACCTGTGAGGTGAGTGAATCAGCAGCCTGATGGCATCGTCAGACTTCCAGATGCCCCAAAATTGCTCCTGTGCCTTTGGCCAGACCCCAAAATCTTGGGGCAAAGTTTTCCAATAAAGTAAACGGCCAAAGGTTAGGTATGTGGGAAACACACCCACAAACCACCTCCGGCTCAGCTATATAATTGGAGGCAAGGTTTTTCTGGTCTTCCTGATTGAACTGCTTAATGCCCATGATCCTAGAGACTCAGAGACAAATCTCAAAACCCAGCGGCTTTTGGCAAAGATGCGTCCGGTCCCTGCAGTGGGTTACCGGTGCCAGACCACCTCAGGGGGGAAAGGGTGTTGTCCCTCCACCTGCTCCCCCTTGGATGCTTGGTGGCTGCCATCTTCCAGAGGCCATTAGACAGTCAGGTTTGGGCCCACAGTGACAAGACATGTGGAGCCTCACGGGATGGGGGTGGAGCCAGTCCTTTCCTCCCTGTCGCAACAAGACCCTGAGTTGCCACCCATGAATGGCATCTCTGACTCCTGATCAAGCTGCTTAACAGCCATGATCCCAGAGATTCAGAAACAAATCTCAGAACCTAGCAGCTTTTGGCAGAAATGGGTCCGGTTCCTGCAGTAGGTTACTAGCGCTGGGCCACCCCAAGGGAGAAAGGGTGCTGTCCCTCCACCTGCTCCCCCTTGGCAACTCGGTGGCCACCATCCTCCAGAGGTCATTGGACAGTCAGGATTGGGCTCACAGTGATGAGACACAAGGGGCTCATGGGATAGGGGTGGAGCTGACCCTTTCCTCCCCTCCCCAACGAGACCCACAAATGGCCTCTCTGGCTCTCATCAAGCTGCTTAACGGCCATGATCCAAGAGACCCAGGAACAAATCTCGGAACCCAGCAAGTTTTGGCAGAAATCCCTCCAGATTTAATTGTTAAAATTTCAGAATTCCAAAATCGCATGCCCACTACTGTGGCGGCACGACATCATGTTATTCATAACCAGTAATAAAAAAAAATAGTCTACTGTTGCCTTTTTGGCAAATCTGAGTGTTGGTGTAAAATCCCTAATAGTAATGGTGGGTCTGGTATCGAAATATTGAATGTAATCAAAGTAGAAGAACGAGTAATGTAGAAATCATGTGCCCCACAGGTAGGGGGAGGGTGTGGATGGAGGGTATATTGGGGTTTTTGGTGGTGGAAAATGGGCACTGGTGAAGGGATGGGTGTTTCATTGTATGACTGAGCTTTGTAACTGCTCTCATGGTTATTCAATAAATAAAATTATAAAAAAGGGGGAAAAAAGTAAGGTGGAGTTCATGCCAAATTAAATCAGCCTCATCAATTGCTGAATAAATAGCAATACTCCTACATTAAAAAAAAAAAGAGTACTGATGCATCAACCACCCAAATTGTTTCTGAAGCAAGGTGGGTTAACTTCTTTATATGTTGCTATAGGAGCAGAAGAAAACCTTTGAGTTTAAATTGCAGAAAGGGTAAGCATTGCTACTATTAACTTCATTTATTTATTTATTTTTGCTATTTGGGTCACACCCAGCGATGCTCAAGGGTTACTCCTGGCTCTGCACACAGGAATTACTCCTGGTGGTGCTCAGGGGACCATATGGGATGCTGGGAATCGAACCCAGGTCGGCTGCATGCAAGGCAAATGCCCTACCTGCTGTGCTATTGCTCCAGCCCCCACTACTATTAACTTTAATTAAATATTACTGGAAGTTTTCCATCAGCCCCCCCCCTTTTTTTTTGTTTTTTGTTTTTTGTTTTCGGTCACACCCGGCAATACTCAGGTGTTATTTCTGGCTCTGCACTCAGAAATCACTCCTGGCAGGCTCTGGGACCTTCTGAGATGCTGGGGAATCAAACCCAGGTCACCTGTGTGCAAGACAAGCACCCTTCCACTGTACTACTCTTTGGCTTTTCTGTCAGCCTTTTTTACTAGCCTGAAATGGTTGATATCCTGTCACTATATGTTTGTTATTATTTTCTGAAATTTTATTAATAAAATTACCTGATTGCAGTTCCCCTTTTTTAACAGAGGAGAGGGAATATAAATTTTTCTCATTGATTTCTTCTGGTATAAGATTTGAGATAGAGCCATTCATGTTTCTCCCGAAGAGTATGTCCCGTTACATGAGAAGTAATCTCACAGATGAAAATATCACAATTTTTTGTCCATATAGGTTCTTTTAAATTTGGACATATTAATAAAGCTATTAAAATTAGCTTTTTTATGAGTTAGACATGTTTGCCTTTTAAGATACTGCCAAATTATTTTTGTTTTGGGGACACATCTGGTGGTGTTCAGGGCTTACTCTTGGTTCTCCACTCAGAAATCACTCCTGGCAGGCTTGGGGTATCTTATGGGATGCTGGGGATTCAACCCAGGTTGGCCACATGCAAGGCAAGCACCCTACCTGCTCTATATCCTCTAGCCCTAAATGTATTTTTTTAAATTACCTAATTTTATATTCTTGCCAGTTTGTATGAGTTCTAAATCCTCAGCAAAACTGGCTATTAATTAATAGTTATAGAGCACTCTGATGGGTGTATAATGCTGTTGCATGGTTCTAATTTGTATTTTTCTGACTATTAATGATAAACATCTTGTCTCAGTATACTTAGCTATTCTTAAGATCTTTGCTTACCATAATGTGGGGAGAAGGAAGGGGGGAGTAAGGGATGGGGAGAGAGAAGGGGGGAGGAGGGGGAGGAGGGGGGAGGAAGGGAGAGATAAAGAGAGGGAGGGAGGGAAATTGCCTGCCATAGAGGCAGGATAGGGGCGTGGGGGAGTGATAGGAGGGAAGCTGGGGACATTGGTGCTGGGAAATGTACACTGGTGGAGGGATGGGTGTTGGAACACTATATGACTGAAATCTAATCATGAACAGTTTTGTAAGGGTCTCAGTGATTCAATAAAAATTTTTTTTAAAAAAGATCTTTGCTTAATTTTCTCCTAGGAGGTCTGTGATCCACTTAGAATTAATTTTTACTTTTTTCTATATTGTGTTAGGGCTGGAGCAATATAGCACAGCAGATAGGGTGTTTGCCTTGCACGCAGCTGACCCAGGTTTGATTCCTCCTTCTCTCTCGGAGAGCCCGGAAAGCTACTAAGCCCCGAAAGCTACTGAGAGAATCTCGGTTGCATGGCAAAGCTTAGCACCCCGTGGTGTATTCAATATGCTAAAAACAGTAACAACAAGTATCACAATTTGTTGTGAGATGTTACTGGTGCCTGCTCCAGCAAATCCATGAACAATGGGAGGACAGTGCTACAATGCTACATATTGTGTTAGTGCTTTAAAAAGATATCTATGACTCTCATTGTTCAGCACTTTGGAAAGATTTCCTTTTCCCTTCAGAAAAATTGACATTGCGCTTTTGTCCAGAATAATTAACAACCTATATCTGGGTCTATTCTGGTCCCTCTTTTCTGTTACATTCATGTAGATGTCTTATCATGTAGCCAGTAATTGCAGTGTTCCCCCATACTCCTAGAGTGGTAGGGGAAAGGGGGAAAGAGGAATGCATACAAAATCCAGTTACTCTTTTTTTTTGGTGGGGAGGGGGGTCACACCTGGTGATACTCAGGGTTTATCTCTGGCTCTGCACTGAGGAATTACTCTGGGCAGTGCTCAGGGGATCATATGGGATGCTAGGAATCGAACCCATGTTGCCGTGTGCAAGGCAAACACCCTACTCACTGTGCTATCACTCTGGCCCCATTTTTACTCTTTGAAAGATTCCTTTGACTATTTCATGGTCTCATTTTCTTGAAAATTTTATATCCAACTTTTCAAATTTGTATAAAAAAGAAGCTGAAATTTAACCAATTCCATTGAAACCTTAGCTTATCTGAATGGAGACTTAAGTTCTTCATACTTCTTGGAATTTATGGACATGGTATATTATGCATATAATATATAAATATGATATATTCATTTGAATTATCCAGTTCCTTTTATGAGTTTAATATACCTTTGAATTAGACTTCACATAAAAATGAGTAGGGTAAACACAGATATGTGTTTATCTTATTCAAAATAGAAGGGTTTGAATTAATTGAAATTTTAAATAAGAAATCGTATATAAATAAGAATTCTGTTACTTTCTCTATCCTAGTAAATTATTATCTTTCTCCTTGGAGATAACTACGTTTATTAGATAGTTATGAATTCAGAATACTTTGGTAAATTAAAAATTTTTTTTATTGAGGTAGCATTGGTTATAAGAATGTAAACATTTTAGGGACACAATATTAGCACACCATGCTTAATAGATTTTCATCACCATCCATTCGACTCTTTCAGCCACCCTTCACTTCCCTTAGGGAATATATAGGTCTCTAGTCAGAGTCCAACTCTGTTTTTATCAGACATTATCTGTTCCCTTGCTTTGTTACTTCATATGAGATCACCCAACATTTATTTTGCTGAGAAGGATACTCTGGTTCCATCAATGTTATAGCAAAAGGCAAGATTTCATCTTTACTTATACCAAACTAATATCCATTGTGTATGTATGCCACATCTTTATTGACCTGTCGTTGAGTACATAGGTTATTTCTTGGTAATAGTAAATAGCAACTCAAGGTGTATGCATTTTTTCAAATTAGAGTTTTTGTGTTGTCTGAATAGACATCTAGAAGGAGAATCACAGGATTGTTAGATTAGTTTTTCAAATGCCATTCTTAAGTCTTACAAGGTATTAATACTTGGCAAATCATATACAGATGGAAACTACAAATATAGAAATGGATTAATAGGTAGACATAGAATGAAATGTTTACATTTTGTTTTGTACTGGCATAATTCATTTTTTGTCTTAACAGATATCAGACACCCTGAAGAACTTTCTCTCTTGAAAAAACCCCGAGATCCAACAAAGAAAAAAAAGAAAAAACTAGATGATCAGTCTGAAGATGAAGCACTTGAGTTAGAGGGACCTCTTATAACACCGGGATCAGGTGAGTCGAGACTGAGAGAGCTAGAACTTAGTATGAAAACCATGAATGGGTGAACTTTGGAATGTGTACTTCAGGAGACTGGACAAGTGAAAAAAATTATTATTAGCATCTTTCAGCTCAACTATGAAATTACTACCAGAGTATGATCTAGACAGATCATTGTATCAGGTGTTAATAGTTGTGTTAATAAAGAGGAAGGTTGGCTTTATACTCACCAAAAGTCAGAAAGCAATAGTAACTTAAGAGGCTCAGTTATTTGCTTTGTTGGACAGTAGTGTTTAGTTCTTCTTTGATGAGTTCCATGAAAAAAAACATTACTATTTCAGAAATTATTACTTCCATCAGGTCACTTAAAACCTTTTAGCTACACATATACTGGTCCTGTACCTCTCTAATTGTTTTGCTTGCCTAATTGCTGTGGTGATGACTTCCAAAACTATAATAGTGGAGAAAAGCTTTATATAACAAAAAGAATCTTGGACTACCATAAAAAGACAGCCTGCTGAATGGAAGGACATAATTGCACACAGTACATCAGATAAACAATTAATGTCAAAGATGTAATGCATTCACAAAGCTTAGAAACAGAAAATCCAATAGCACCAACAAAAGAAACAGGGAAAAGAGATGAACAGACATTTCCATAAAGAGGACATTAGGATGGCCAGTAGACAAAAGTGGTCGTCATTAGGCAAACACAAAATGACATTGAGAAACTGACCTCATATCAGCGATAGTGGCCTATATCAAAAAGCCTGGAGAAACGGTGTTCGCAGGTGTGTTGAAAAAAAAGGAACCCTTATTCATTGGTAGTGAAAGGGAATGTTTGGTTCGGCCTCACTGAAAAACAGAATGGAGATTTCTCAAAGACTTAGAATAGAACATGTATACCTATATTCACAGCAGTGCTGAGTATAATAGCTCACATATGGAAATAGCCCTAATGTCCGATAATAGATGAATAAAATGGACTCTTGCAGTTTACTTGCTACTTGGACTGATGTGGAATATTGTGTTAAAATAAATCAGAGGAAGGACAAGTTCTGGATGATCCCATTCAGCTGTGATATATAGAAAAATAAAACAAGGGAATGGACAATATCAATGATAAGAGAGAAACAAAAACCAATATTGGTCCTAAATTACAAAATTTTAAGTACTGGGGTGGAGAGTAGAACGTGGAGTGGGAGGGGAAAAGGATGAGGGGAAAACAAAACCCCATAAAATGTTAACAGTATTGTAAACATGTGACCTAAATGATATTTTTTAATAAATAATTCAGAATGACAGTTATAAGGCAATTTCTGTTTTGTTAGAATACAGCAGTACTCTCAGCTAATAGCTGACATGGGTTTTTAAATATTTATAGCAGGCAGCCTGTGACTAGTGTTTGTATAACTCTTTCTCCTGCTTAAAATTGTTAGGTTATTTTTTTTCCATGTTTAGCAAACTTGTTTAGCAAACTCATATTTTATTGATTACTAAATATGCTGCTCTATTTTACCCTACATTATTTTTCCTGCTTCACATGTTTTTAACATAAGCTTGTTGGTATTATCATTGAACTGAGACTTTAAAGGAATTTAAAATGCACATAGCCTCTGACCTAGCTGTTAGAATTGGGAAATAAGTACAGAAATGTTTGTTAGAAGCAGTGTTTGCAATAGCAGTGGTGACATCAAAAAACAAAACTGAATAAATGTTCACCAACTTGGTAAATAAGTTACAATACCTTGGAGGCAGTGTGATTAGCTGTAGCTGGACTCTTGATTTATGACTTGGCCTGCCTTCGTAGCTCTTGACATTATGCAAGTTATTTAATCTTTTTGTACCTCAGTTTGTTCCTCTAAAATGAAAGTAATAGGGTCCTGGGAATAGTAACTGGGCTATTGCGTTAGTGTCTAACAAGATTATTAACAATGACATGTAGATATACAAGTATAAGTAATTGAAAGAGGTTTGTATATGTGACTGTCTATTAAATCTTGTGTGATTTAGGAGAATGTATTTTCTGTTTTAGAAAAATTTTAGAGAAAATTGTCAAATTCTAACTTTACTTAATTCTTAGTATAATTCATACGTTCACTAGATCCTTAAACAGCAAGAAGATTCTGCCGAAATAATAGTATTTTTCACATTTATTTATATGTATATTCTCTCTAGCAGAATTTGTCTTTGGCAAGTTGAGCTGAAGCTTCGTTCTTTCTCATTTTAAATAAATGGGGACATGCAAGTTGCTCTTTCACCTGTGTTCTGTAATTTAGATTCTAGCTTTTTTGGGTGTCGGAGGGATATGGGTGATATTTTGGTGGGGAAATGTACACTGATGGAGGGATAAGGGTTGAAACATTGTATGACTGAAACCTGATCGAAAGCTTTGTAACTGTATCTCATGATGAGTCAATAAAAATAAATAAATTTTTTAAAAAACACCAAAACTGTGACTAGGGGCCAGGAGGTGGACCAGCAGTATAGCATATGCCTTGCATGTAGGTGGGCACTGCAAAAAGGAAAAACCATCACTGCGTATCTTTGCATATCTTTGTTCCTTAAAGATTCTTAAAAAATGAATTTACAGCTTCCTTTGTTGCTTACTTATGTTAAGAATGTTCAGATTTTACGAACTGCATTTGTGTAAACATTGAAAGAACATATTTTAGGAACATAAACTAAAATTTCCTGTGGTTAGCAAGAGACTTTTTCAAAAACCTTTGTGTTCTCTTCCTAGCCTAGGTCATGACAGCTAAAAAATCTTGCATTAACCCCACTTTTCCATATGCAGTGGTTTCTGTTGCTGCAAAAGGTAAGTGTGGGAAGTTAGAGAATAAAGAAGATAGTACTGTGCATATTCCTAAATTTGGTCAGAAAACAGCCATTCTCTTTCCATCACCCATTAAGGTATGATACACATTTAAGTTTCTTCTTCAAAATTACGACTTATGGACAAAAAGCGATGAAAATGAGGACTTTGGAACTCTGCTCTATGCATACCAAGAAATCACAAGATAAATATGCCTCCATATAAGATAGTTAGGAAAAATCTGTATTTTCTTTTCCCCATTTTCTTTTCAATCTTTGGTTTCTGTCTTCTATTGTTGCCTTTCCTTTACCTTCTGAATTCCTTTCTTTCCTTTCCTATAGGCACTGATGTTCTTTACATTGGCCCTCTGAAAGGTGAGACTTTCCACAACTAAAACCAGAAAGTGTTGGTCTGTCTGCTTCAGCTGGATCTCTAACTTACCTTCTAAATCTCTTGAACTGATTCCCTCACCCGCCACAAATTTCCACCAAATTAATTATCTTTCTTTTGCATTATTATTATATGTTCTAATATAATGCAAGTAATTAAAGTTCACATTTTAAAAATAGGTAAAATCATGTACTAAGGCTTTTCTTTCAGAATGAAGCTTGAGCTTCACAATTGCTTTATGTCATTATCAGCTTGTATTGTTGAAAATTAATACAATGCCTCATACTGAGGACCTATTTTTCATTGTTATCTATTAGGAAGCATATATTCAAGCCCAGGACTTTATAGTAAAACAATGACCCCCACTTACGATGCTCATGATGGAAGCCCCTTGTCACCGACTTCCGCTTGGTTTGGTGATAGTGCTTTGTCAGAAGGTAATCCTGGTATACTTGCTCTCAGCCAGCCAATCACATCTCCAGAAATCTTGGCAAAAATGTTCAAGCCTCAAGCTCTTCTTGATAAAGCAAAAATCAATCAAGGGTATGTTTAAATTCTATGGACCATTGAAAAAATTCTTTATTCAACTTCCAACTAGAAGTAGAAATATTTTATTCACTGTCTCGCTTTGTTCCACTGCTCTTGTTAATTTCTCCAGGTGGCTTGATTCATCAAGATCTCTTATGGAACAAGATGTGAAGGAAAATGAAGCCTTGCTGCTCCGATTCAAGTATTACAGCTTTTTTGATTTGAATCCAAAGGTACCGAGGGTTTAGAGCGCTGTCTGCTTTTTCTGTTTGCTTTTCTATTTTATTTGAAATATAAGGAGTCATTTATCCACAGCAAGTCTTGACTGCTATAAACCTCTAAAACTTTATTTTTTTTATTTTATTTTTTTTTAATTTTTATTAGTGAGACATCATGAGGTACAGTTGTAGACTTACAAATTTTTGTGCTTGGGTTTCAATTATACAATGATCAAATACCCAACCTCTAAAACTTTAGACAAAGGTATTTATATTTTAAGTTTATTGTTTTATTAGATCAGAAACATAATTAAACCTTTTCTTTTTTCAAAAAAAAGGTAATTTGAATTTTTAATAATGATTTTTTTAAAGTTATTAGTTTGATACCATACAGTTTCCCAAGTTTGTTATTATGAATTACTTTTCAGGGCCAGAGGATAGGTAGGGGTAAGGGTGCATACCTTGCATTGGGTTGATCCTGGTTCAGTCCCCAGCACCATCTGGTCCCCCAGGCAGCATTGGATGCCTCTAAGCACCACTAACTATGGCCATGAACATCCCTGAGCACTGCTAGGATGGCCCCGTAACTTGGAAAATCCCCAGTACTCTGGGCCTTAAGAAGCATAGTACCCTCAGGTCCTCGCATTGAGTTATGGTCTTGGTTAGTTTAACATCACCTGGAGGTCCCCCAAGCTTCTAATCATTGCTTGAGAGGCGGGGGGGAGGGGAGTTTTTCATTCCTTAAAAAAAATTTTAAGACTGTTTCTTCCTGTTTAATAGCCAAACACTGTGTCATGTTTTCACTATTGAATGATTAGTGTCATTTGTACTACTGAAGGACTTTGCTTCTACGATAAGATTCAAGTTTGGGACCAAAGAGGAAGTAGCAGCACTAGATTGCACGTCCTAGCACCAGACCATTTGTTATATACAGCCAGGCCAAGTATTGCTGGGTGTTACCCCAAAGCTTCCAAGCATTGCTGGGTGTTTGTCCCTACCCCAAGTCAAGTCTTCCTTAAAAATCTAGTGTATTTTCTCCAGAAAACCCAGTGGCATAGATACTTGGATCTTTTGCACCCCTCTTACCCTTAGAAGGGTATCTCATCCTTTTCTTGCCTAAATTTTGGTCTATATTTTAATTTGTTAACTGCTGAAATAGTAAAATGTATATAGTAGAACTATTAAAAAATCATTGGAATCTTTTTCTGGTCACACTGCATTATACCAAAGATGTTTGGGGGGGACATAATTACATTTGCTGGGAAGACTGTGGGCATTGTACCTTAGTATTAAGACTATGATTTTTATTAAGAAGACCAGATAATTCAGTTACTTATTTTTAATTCAGTAACTTTCAAGTATTTTCCACAGCATATGGATTCTCTATTGGATTCTTAACATAACTGTTTCCATGAGCCTGAACGCTGGGTCTGATAAAGCTGTTCACAGTGAGCAAGATATTGCCCCTAGTAATTTGGTCTGACATTTTAGTGTGACAGGTTATAGTAACAATCCTGATAGGCAGTTCTTTCTTACTTTAGTGACTTCAAGTTGGGATTTACTTCCTCGGAAAATATATACAGAATATTTAAGTTTTAATATGATCTTGCCATATTTTATGTCACTTAAAATGGAGAATTCCATATTGGTAGAGATAAATAACCTTATGGGTATCTTTATTACTCAGTATTTTATAGAAAATAAAAATCCAAGAAAAAGTTTGCTTTTTAAAAATGAATATTTCAAGTTTTCAAACATTTTAATGCTCAATGTGATACATCACAACTAATTGTGTTTCTTTTTGTAGTATGATGCAATCAGAATCAATCAGCTTTATGAGCAGGCCAAATGGGCTATTCTTCTAGAAGAAATTGAATGCACAGAAGAAGAAATGATGATGTTTGCAGCTTTGCAGGTAATGGGAAGTATCAATAATGGGAATTTTTGGGGGGAAAGAGTAGGAAATTATTTTAAATAGTAAAGAGGTCAGTAATTCCAGTAGCATGTTGATACAGTGTTATTTTGTGTCACTTAAGTTTAGTGGAGTACTTTATAATTACATTTATGTATCCTGTAGGAAAAAAATTCCACTCCAATTCTCAGATTAGCTTAAATTAGTTTAAATTGCTGAGTTTCCTCTTGGAAAAACATCTGTAAACTAATACTTTTAAAACAGCTGGGGGGGCTGGAGAGATAGCACAGCAGGTAGTACAAGCGGCCAACACAGGTTCAATTCCCAGCATCCCATGTGGTCCCCTGAGCACTGCCAGGAGTAATTCCTGAGTGCAGAGCCAGGAGTAACCCCTGTGTATCACTGGGTGTGACCCTTCCCAAAAAAGGCATCTTTGAGCCCACTGTGTAGACATTATGAACAAAGCTTGCCCCCTAGAACTGAAAAAAAATATATGGACAAGAAGTTATTGTTGAAATTGAATGGTGGTAGCAGATATGTCCAAGGAATACTGCAAGGATTTGACCCCTTTATGAATCTTGTGATAGATGAATGTGTGAGGATGGCAACAGATAATATTGCAGTGGTGCCAATATAAGGAAATAGTATGTTAGAAGCCTTGGAGCAAGAGTATAACAGCAATTGATTGTTTAGAAGTCAAAGAATTTAACATGTTCCCCTCATTTCATCTTTATGCTGATATGAAATTGGGTTATATACATTTTCTTGAATGTTTTGTTAAAATTCCTTTATATTAAAAAAAACATTTTTATTTCCTTAAAAAAGTTTTTTCATCCCCAATGTGATTCTTGCACACCAATGACTTCAAAATTGTACTGACATTTATTAAATAACTGTCCACTTCATTACAGCTAGCCCATCTGATAAAATAACTTTAGGGTGTCACAAATTTGCATTCTTTGAGACACTCAGGTCTGATAACTAGATTATCCTTATATTTCAGATAGCTGAGACTTTGCTAAGTGTTCTAAGATTGTGGTAGAATTCTGGTTTCACCTAAGCCCTGATAATGTTCTTTAAATAAGAGAAGTACAAAGTTGACATTCATTCTTACATAAACATCATCCCATATCTTTAGCACTGAATTGAAGATGGGGGAAAAGTGGAGCTTTAGCTTTCAGCTTAAAAAATGGATAGCTGACTTTCCCTTTCTAGGTAATGAGAGTAATATTTGGTAGCCAGTGTTAATACATACTCTTTTATTGCAGTATTTGTTGGTACCAGACCCTGCTCTCGATATAGGGAATACTGTATTAAGCGGGTAGGGCGTTCGCCATACAAGCGGCCAACATGGCCGACCCGAGTTCGATTCCTCCGCCCCTCTTGGAGAGCCCAGCAAGCTACCGAGAGTATTCGATATGCCAAACACAGTAACAGTATTAAAATAAGAAGAAAAAACTCGGTTTGTTTTGATCTTAGCAGAATGCACAGGGTTGTTTTTACTATTATTATTACTATTTCGGGTCATGGACAGACCAGCAGTACTCAGGGTTCTTGGTTGGCTCAGACGACCATATTGCGTGCATGGGATCGACGCAGGTCAGCTGCATGCAAGGCAACACTACCACAGTATTATCTTTCCAACCCCAGGATAATTATTTTTATTATCTGGTTAAAACATTAATTTCAGGAGCTAATTTCATGATCCAGTGCCCTCTATTTTCTTGTCATTTCCAATTCCTGGATACTTCTGTTTTTTCATCTTGGGTGACTAAAAAGCATTCAGAATAGGAGAATAATCTCATTTTAAAGTTTTACAGTTGGAACAATCATTTAAATGCTATTTTTGGTTTCAGTATCATATTAATAAACTGTCAATCATGACATCCGAGAATCACTTGAACAACAGTGACAAGGAAGTCGATGAAGTTGATGCTGCTCTTTCAGACCTGGAGATTACTTTGGAAGGGGGTAAAACATCAACAATTTTGGTAAATGTCTTTACCTACTGTTTCAGTTTCCATTGATGGTTGCCTTGTTTTTGAATTTGGTTTCTCCTGAAGTGTTTGGGGATGTAGAGAAATAATGCTTTAGAGAATTAAGATGTCCATTTTTCAGAAATTCAAGGACAGTTGCGAAATTATTGTTATTCTAGTTCCTAAAATTTCCTGCATGGTAAAGATAAATGTTCTGATATGCTGCCTATATTCTTAAAAGTAAGAGAGACAGTATAAAAGATAAGGCTATTGCCTTGTAAGTGTCAATTGTGGGTTTAATCACCAGCACTGCATATGGTTCCCTGAGCACAGCTGTGTGTGCCACTCCCCCCCCCCAAAAAAAAGAAGAAAGTAAAATGAAAAATTAGTCTCCGGACAATTTTTAAATGTTAAGTTTTGTTTTAAAGCTTAGGAATTAGGACTGTTATGATTTACATTGTGCTTGGGGATACCAGAGCCACCACCTGGAGGCTTAAACCTAGTGCTCACACATGCATGGCATGTGCTCCACCACGTAGCCACATTCTTGCTTCTACAGACAGTTTTGGATGTATAAATTGCAGTTTTCACTATCATTTTATTAGCTTTTTTATGCACTTAAAATAGCTGTTTTAGAGGCTAGAGCAATAGTACAATGAGTAGGGCATTTACCTTGCCTGGATTTGATCCTCAGCATCTCTCTGGTCGCCCTGCAGGAGTAATTCCTGAGTTCAGAGCCACAGGTAATCCCAAAACAACAAAAAAGTTTTGTACTATGTATTATGACTATACTTTTAAAATTCATGTAATATGTAGTTTTGACCTATGAGAGTTTTATAGTTCAAGAAAAAAATTCTTAATTCTTTTCTAGGGTGACATCACTTCCATTCCTGAACTTGCTGACTATATTAAAGTTTTCAAGTAAGTACAAGAAAGGGGGAGATTCTAAATATTATGAATCATAAATGTGAGTTTTATAGTCATGATCATATTATTGAAATGTATTTTTATTACTATGAAATGTATGCTGAAACACAGATTAGAAAAACATTAAATTATAAAAAGGAATTATAAAATTAAATTACTGAATTAAATTATTGCACGCGGTGGACCCAGCCGAGCCGGGTTTGATTCTTCCACCCCATTCAGAGAGCCCGGCAAGCTACCCAGAGTATCTCGCCTGCATGGCAAAGCCTGGCAAGCTACCCGTGATGTATTCAATATGCCAAACACAGTAACAAGAAGTCTCACAATGGAGACGTTATTGGGCCCGCTTGAGCAAATCGATGAACAATGGGAGGACAGTGCTACAGTGCTATAAAAGGGAAAATAACCATCTTCACCAGATTAAAACCACAGTACTCATTAAGTTGTTTTATCTGATAAAACATTTTTCTTAAGGGAGGGAGAAAAGAAGATTGTGTAACCTAAGTTGCATCACGTAGATCTGAAATATACAGTGTCCTATCAGTACAAAGCATCCTCTAGGTGAAAGTACATAACGCTATTACTGACAGAGGTTACTCGGTGTTCAGAAACCCAGATTCTGTTGAATTCATTTGTGCTTGGGGCCTTTTATAGTAAGGCTCTAGTTTACATATCTACTCATGGTGTTTCACTAATAAAAATTTTTAAAAAATAAAGTAAAAATAAAGTCAGCGTAGTCATAGTTCACAGAATCAAAAGAGCTAGATATTAAGGAACAGGAGAAAGAGGAAAAGATGATAGAGAATGTAACCTATAAGGCCATTTTTTGAATAAACTGTTACAGCTAATCCCATAACAGCTTGCATATGTAACATTTCTAAGAGCATGATTCCAGACAGTTGCTGCCTAAACCCTGACTCCCTCTTCTCCCTTTATACATTGTTTTAACCTACTTTTATTTTTCCTTGTCTGTTATTTTTTTATGACTTTCCTGTCTTCTTCCTGTTGGAATAGCAAGCTTAAGTCATCGTTGCAATACATCCCTGAGGGAGATGGCTAACTTATCTCACTTGGGTCATGTCAGGTAAACTTACTTATTCAGAGAACTTTCAAAGGTAGCCCTGCAGGTAATTAGGAGACCCAGAAACTCTCCATTTTTTCACATTTCCTTCAACATTCTTTTCCTATCCTTTCCATGTGACCTGTTAATAATAGAGATAGATATAACTGACAGAAATACTAGTGTAGGCCCTGCTGCCTTTTTCTTCTACTCCTCACAAGAGGCACACTATATGAGGTCTTCCTGACTAGAGTGAAAAAGAAGGAACAAATCCTGTAACAGTGACATTGAATGTAACACACTGGCCAGAGGAATTGAATTCAGTATAATGTAAAATGTACCTCTGGCTTTTTGTATTGTAATTTTGTTGCTAAAATACAGCATTTACGAAGTTAACATTTTTTTAAATTTCTATTTGACACACAGGCCAAAAAAGCTGACTCTAAAAGGTTATAAACAATATTGGTGTACCTTTAAAGATACATCGATTTCTTGCTATAAGAGCAAAGAAGAATCCAGTGGCACTCCAACTCATCAGATGAACCTTCGAGGTAAGAAAAGCCTTCAATGACTACCGTTGGTAGAGGGATCTGAGGAAAATGTTTTTTTTATCTTAGTTCTTCCACAAGTTTGCTCATTCAATTCCACACATTCAGTTCATTACACAAATCTCTGTTGTAATGATCTTTACTTGAAATATGCAATTTTTTTTTCTTGCTGGTTAGGTAGATTTTTTATTTTGGCAGTGTGATTTTTCATTTTTCCTTGTTTTGCAAGAGCCATTTGCTTGTCTGTTTCATATTGTTTCCTCATTATTCATGGAGTAGTACTCCTTGCAGGGTTGTTGTACCTTAGGCAGCACTCAGGGAACCATGTGTAGTGCTGAAAATCAATTTAGGGTTGGCTGAATGCAAGGCAAGAGACTTCAATTCTGTACTTTTTCGCTGTCCCTGCTCCCAGGTTTTTGCTGGTTTCTTTCCTTCCTTGTCAGTTTACTTCTCCTCTTCCTGACCTTCACTGCTGACAGACTGTATCAAGTCCCCAGTCTCTTGGTTTTCCAACTCAACATTGAGGTAGTTGGAACCTGCTGGGTCTAATAAGTTTGTCACCCTTACCAGTACTCCTTTCTCGGTACATTTTTGTCACATTTAGCATAATTGATTCAACTAAGCTCCTGTGATAGTCCAAGAATATTCCCAGGCTTTTCTCTTTAAATTCAAAGCTGTCTAGAACTAGGGGCTGGTAAAGTGCTAGACCTTTTTCTGCTCACTATTCTTCATGGTGGCACGCTAGCTTCCTGTGGCCTGGGCTGAAATCTGACTCCTTTTTTACCATGCAGGTCAGTAGAGCTCCAAATCCTGTCTCACTCTGATGACATTTTCTGCAGGGTTCTTAAAAAAGTTATTGTTTAATGTTCTGATTTAGGACTGAAGCAATAGCACAGCGGGTAGGGCATTTGCCTTGCACGCAGCCAACATGGCCGACTGGAGTTCGATTCCTCCACCCCTCTCGGAGTGCCCGGCAAGCTACTGAGAGTATCTTGCCCACACGGCAAAGCCTGGCAAGCTCCCCATGGCGTATTCGATATAGTCTCACAATGTTACTGGGCCCACTCGAGCAAATCAATGAACAATGGGAGAACAGTGACAGTGACGGTTCTGATTTAGGTTCTGTGATTTACAAAGCTGTTAATTATAATGTTTTAGGCATACAATGCTCCATCTTCAAACCCACCACTGGTGTCAGCCATTCTATGGGTTCTTGACACTGTCCCTTCATCTTTCATCCAATTGATGCACTCTGTCATGTCGTAAGATAATTTTCTCTCCAGGTTGACTGAGTTCATCTGCAGTTGGAGGCCATCACTGCAAGACTGTTAGCTGATACTGCAGATTGTTGAAAAGCCTGCCACTTGTAATGACATGATTCATAAAACTGCCTAGCTTAGTTCCAGTTTAGATAGCACTAGGGATTTTTTAGATCCCTCTAAGAAACTGCACCCCTGAGAATATTCTTTAACTGTGAACTTTATACTCCTGGTAATCAGTATGCTTGATGGAAGATGTCAGATATATTGGTTTCTTCCTGTTTCATGTTCCTTTACTGAGAATTCCCTTTCCACAAAGAGATTTAGATTCACATAAGACTTGAATTGCCAACTAAAGGATTAGGCAGCAGTATAGAGAAATGCATGAACTACTTCCAAGTTTTGAAACTACAACTGCAGAAGTAGGTTACTAGTTTCCTACTTTCTTAATTGTAGCAAGGATGGTGACTCCCTCACAGGTTAGTTCTAAGGAAGGGTAGCATTCAGTGTTCCCTCTCTTTTATTTTGGAGGAGTCTTCTTTCCAGCAGTGCTTGGAGTCAATGAAGTGCTGGAGATTGGTTTCAGAGTCTTATACATATAAGGCATGCTCTTCAAATCTTTGAGCTATGTCTCTCTTTTGGGTTACATTTTTCATACAAATTTATTATTACATGTAAAGCAACATGACTTTATAATGAACTGAAAATACTGATTACACAAATACAGGAATGTCTTCACTAATCTGTATTCTTAATCTTTTTTGGTACTAATGTAAATTAGGTTGCTTTCTTGGGAGCCGCAGGGGTTAGCACACCTGACTGACCTCAGGGATCTCTTCTCGTGAGTTTTAGGGGACCATATGGGATGCCAGGGATGGAAGGCAAGCTCTCTATCCACTGTACTGACCAGTCCTAAACTAGTGCTCCTTAAGTATATTTTTGTCCACATGTCTAAATCTCCACCTTGTCTTCCTTTTGCCAGGTAATCATCTGAACTATTTCTTTATACACTGTAAAAAAGAAAAATCCTATGTCCTGTTATTCCCATGTATGGGAATCTTCTGAAATTTGTTCTGAAAGTTTTAATTAGGTTCACTTTCTTTCTCTGTAAATCAGAAGTTCAATTTTGGGGACCTGCATTATTATTTCACTATAACATTCCTGGGTCTTTTCATAGTTGCCCGAGACCAACTTAGATATCCAGACTTGAGATTTATGTTCAGTTTCTTTCTTCTCAGTCTCTTTCATATAATAACCTTCTCCCTATATAGCAGAACAGTCAAGACCTTATCCCATCCCTCTGAAGTCCTCCCAAAGGAGCACTTTCCTAGCATAGTACACTGAAAAGGTAAGGCCAGCCAAAGCATCAAGTGGCTCAGTTCTGCTCTGCCACTGAATAAGCCCCATTGTTTTTGAAAAATAGCTTATGTAGATATCAATGTCATCCTTGGATCAGATTCTCTCTGAACTCTTAAAAGATTTAAAATTAGTGCTGGGACAATATTAAAGTAAGTAGGGCACTTGCCTGCAGAGAGCCAACCCTGGTTCTATTCCCTACACCATATATGACACCAAGTCACAAAACAAAACAAATTTTAAAAATTGAAAATTCAGAGTTCTGGAAAAATTACTAATTGAAAACCTAGCATACAAATTTTGCTATATATCAGAGACATGAGCAAGAAGAAATTATAGTTCTGTTCCTCAAATGCTCTTAGCATATTAGGGGGATCAAGTTACAATTCAGGCAATAATACTTAAAAATAGTAACATTAATGGTGCACTTTACTCAGGGGTTGGCTGCACCCCATCTATGAGTATGTAAAGGTAAAGGTAAAGGCCCTCCCGTTGATCGTCGATTTGCTCGAGCGGGCCCAGTAACGTCTCCATTGGAGACTTTGTTGTTACTGTGTTTGGCATATCAAATACTCTCAGTAGCTTGCCAGGCTCTCCGAGAGGGGCGGAGGAATCGAACTCGGGTCGGCCATGTTGGCTGCGTGCAAGGCAAACGCCATACCGCTGTGCTATCGCTCCAGCCATGAGTATGTAATCTCTCTTTTATGGCATGCAACTATGGGAAATGTCAAGCCCCTCTTTAGGACCCTCTTTTCCTTTTGGCCTTTAATCTCCCTGCTCCCTCTCCCCTCCTCCTTACTATATTCTCCTTAGCATCCTCCTTCAAAAAGTTGATTTACTTAAAAAATAAGTAACAGGTAGGGATAGAGTGGTAAAGGTATTCGTTTTGCATGCCTCTGGCCTCAGCTTGATCCCTGGTCCCATATGGTCCCCTGAGTACACTGCTGGAAGCAACACTGGAACACAGAGCTAAGAGTGGATGTGGCTAAAATTTTTTAAAAAATTTTTTTTTAATTTTTAATGTCAAAGAGAAGATGGTAAGTGATGGTAGAGAGAAGTAATAGGCTTCATCGCATAAATAAGGTTAGAATCAAAATCCCGAAGTGGAAAGTTGGTAAAAGAGTTTTCTAGACAGAGATTAATGTACAGAGATGTGAAGAAAGCATCAGCAACCAGAAATTTTGTGCTGCTGGGATGTAGAGTTTAAGGAAAGATGATATATTCTTGAATATCAGTCTTACTAGCACAAAAATCTAACTTTCAGCAGAAAATAGAGGGTAAAAATGGTATAGAGATTGCTTTTAAAATTGACTATAAGATAGAGGACTATAAGATAGATGCTAACTATAAGATAGAGGAATATTTTGGAATAATTTTAAAATAATTTTAGGAAATTTCTGCAATAGTAATTATCCCAATTAAGATTATCAAAATGAATGGAGAAAGAAGTGTGAATTAAATACATACTGAGGGAGTCCAATCAGTAGGCTAAGAATTGTGGAAGGGACTTGCATCGTGTGCAGTTGAGAACTGGGGTGATATAGATGGGAATGTATGTAAACTGGTACTGCGGAGAAAAGTGATTTTCAAGAAAAAAAATTTTTTAGACTGAAATACACTGTTACAAAGTTGTTCGTCATTGGGTTTCACCAGTATACATTTCCCAACACCAATGTCCCCAGTTTCTATCCTGCACCTCCAACCTCCACCTGCTTCTATGACAGATACTAGAGAAAAGTGGCTTTAATTTTGAATGTTTTATCTTAGAGATAAAATGAAGACTACTGGATAACAGGAGAGCCCCATGCTGACATAGTAGTCACCAGAGATAATGTAAATATATGACTATATGAGAAAACTGGGCTGGAGCGATAGCACAGAGGGTAGGGCAGCTACCTTGCAAGCGGCCAACATGGCTGACTCGAGTTCGATCCCTCCACCCCTCTCGGAGAGCCTGGCAAGCTACCGAGAGTCTCTCGCCTGCACGGCAAAGCCTGGCAGGCTCCCATGACGTATTCGTTATGCCAAACACAGTAACAAGTGTCACAATGGAGACGTTACTGGGCCTGTTCAAGCAAATCGATGAACAATGGGAGGACAGTGACAGTGATGAGAAGACTAAGAACATGACCCTAAAGCACCCATGTTTAAGAGAGATAATCAGATTACAGGAAAGGAGCTTAAAAATAAAACAATAAAAACCAGTATAAGAAGATTATGAAAATGAGGTATGATGAAAGTTAATGCAAAACTTTCTGAAAAATAAGATAAAGGAGCGATGGAACAACAGTAGGGTGTCAGCTTTGCTTAGCTGACCCGGGTTCGATCCCTGACATCCCATATGGTCCTCAGAGCACTGCCAGGAATAATTCCTGAGTGTAGAAACAAGAGTAACCCTTGAGCATCACCAGGTGTAACCCAAAAAAGAAAAAGTAAAAAAGATAAAGGTTGATAAACCTCCATAGGAGATACTGGCCTCCATGAAAAACAAATTCAAGCGATTTCAATTGCAATAAGAAAAGAAAAAAGTTGGAGGAATTTTGTGACCAGAGAAACTCAAAAGTTGTCCCTTCTGCATGGTAGGTAAAATGTTCCATTCCCCAAAAGTCCTGGACATAAATTATTCTCTGATTTGTATAGATTACAACAGCAAAACTATTTCAGATTTATGACAATCTTAACAGGAAAATTCTGTGTTACAGAGCCATAAATTGAGGATTACATGTATTAACAGGATTTCTTAGGAGTTAAGTTTGTATAAATATATAGACATATATACATTTATAATTATTTTTTAAAATACAGGATGTGAAGTTACCCCAGATGTAAACATTTCAGGCCAAAAATTTAACATTAAACTCCTGATTCCCGTTGCTGAAGGCATGAATGAAATCTGGCTTCGTTGTGACAATGTAAGTTTTCCATTTGAAAGCATGCCTTTTCTTTGGTTTTTATATTTTATACACACAAGACATACTGTGTGCTACTTTTCATACCTCAGTATTCCTTTTCAACAGGAAAAACAGTATGCGCACTGGATGGCAGCCTGCAGATTAGCCTCCAAAGGCAAGACTATGGCGGACAGCTCTTATAATTTAGAAGTTCAGAATATTCTTTCCTTTCTGAAGATGCAGCATTTAAACCCAGATCCTCAGTTAATACCAGAGCAGATCACAACAGATATAAATCCTGAATGTTTGGTGTCCCCTCGGTATCTAAAAAAGTATAAAAACAAACAGGTACTTATTCATTTCACTTCATTTACTGTTTTCTGCTTATGAAAGTACTAAATTACTGTGCCCTCTTAAAAATCGTCTTAGACTAGTGATTTTTTAGTCTAACAATCCAATATGAAGTTAACAGCCTCCTATCAGTATAATGTAGGTCTTTACATTTTTTAATAATCTGTTCTAGTAGGACAGTCAAGGTGGAATGTTTGGGAGCATATTTATTCTAGAACACTTGTAATCACTCTGTTGAAACATTCTATTAGATATATTCCTTCAGAAAATTGAATGTGTTCCTTAATTCACGTAGTTTTATTCCTCCTATTTACTTTTAGCACAGGTCGCATTTTCCAACAAAATCTTGAATGTTAAAACTGACTTTTCTAGCTTTGGAAATAAATTTTACAAGGATAGAAATAGTTTACTTTTCAAAACTTGTCTTTTCTTAGTCTTTTATGACAAAGTTAGTGTCAATTTTCATTGAAATTCACTGCTTTCTGTTCACTCTGTTTAGAATTCCCTCCCTGGATAGTAATACCATAAAAGGATTGCTCTTTAGGAAAATGCTTCTTCAGTACAACATAAAAGGTTCTTTGGAAGGGAATTGCACTTGGGATAGCCCCCAGTCCTCTCAACACCAAACATCATGCCATAAAAGGAAAAGCTTCAGTTTGGGGGAGAGGAGGGAGCGCTTAAGAAGAACTTTAAAATAAATACTTCATTATTATCTAGTTTCATTTTTATCGTTGTGGAGAAATAACTTTAAAATACACTGCAAAGACTCAGAAGTACCTCAAACTCTTATACTTAACCTGAAATATGTTTATCATGTGGGTATAAAATAACTTAGCCAGAAACGTTCAGAAGTTTTTATCGCCAAGTGTTTTAAGTTTTAGATGTTGTGTAAGCTACGTGGAAAAGTGTTTATCCCACAGTCCTATGACGTGGGAGTAGTGCGGAATGGAGGAAATGTGGCCCTGGGGAGCTGTGGAATGTAGATTATAAGTTAAAAAGGGAAAGTGAATCAAGTACTAATTTCATTTTTTTATTCCTAGTTTAATGAATATGCTCAAATCTTAACTATTTTACCATACTGATGTGGGGGGAGAAAGGGATGTTAAAAATATTATAGTAATGAAGGCTGCCAAATGTTGGTTTAGTTCCCAAACATATGTATTATTTTCTCAGATACCTTTAAAATTGTGGTTTTCATCTTTAAAGGTAGTTTTCTATCCCTAAATTGTCAACTGCAGATACTGTTGAGATTTGGAGTGCTGTTAGGTAAAGGTTTAGTTGCTGTTGTGTCAGATGTTGTATTAATCATTGGACAAGGTGTTCAGTAATTATTAACAAATGGCTTTTGGGAGTCAGGCCATGGGTACGGAGGGCTATTTATTAGGAAGTAAGGTCATGTTTTTTTTGTGGGTCCATCTTTCATTATCTATTTTAACTCTCCCATGTTGTGAGTATATTTTAAAGTGGGTTTTTACATTATAAACAAAACTTTTCTTTTATCCTTGTTATTTCAAATTGTAATAAACTATTTTTACAGTCAACATTCCTAGTGTAGTGTATGGCATCTTTTTATTTTCCTTTCCAGGAAAAAGGATGCAAAAAACAGATGGTAACTGCTTTTCCTTGTATAAATAAACAGTATGGTCACTTATTTTATGCCTTCAGCATTTCTGAAAAGCAGTGCATGGGTCATATTATCTGCTAGATGTGAGAAGATATAAAAGCCTTAAGATAATAATTTTGACTTTTTTACTAAAATAATACACTTTGCCCTAACTAGTAAGAGTGGATACAAAGGTGGGGGAAGGTGGGGAATGGTTTTTGCTCTTATTTTCTCCTTATAAATGTCTACCCTTAATTCTAGTAACACTTAACCATCTAAATTCATGGAGTGTTTCTCAGTATAGGAAAGTAATTGCTGCTTCCTCATTTTCATTTCCATGCTTGCATTTACTTTGCTTGATTTCTATCTAAAGTGTTTTTTTGCATGGTTTTGGCTAGAATTTTGGTTTTCAGGTTACCGCAACTTTTCTTTGCTTCATTGCCATTTTTTCTGATTGCCTTTTTTTTCTGCTTCCTTTTTCTTTCCTCGCATTGCCATCTACAGCCAGGCTATATAAGAGATTTGGTAAGTTCTTTATATTTATGAAAAAAAGGAGAAAAATACTTAAACCTTAAAATGTTAACCATCGTCCCCTTTGTGGATTAATTTCCTTCTGCCCTTCTATTCCATGTGGGAATACTTCCCAGAATGAGTAAAATAAATTATAATGAACCTTTAAATTCGTTCAAAGTAATCATTCCAAGTATGTTTTAAAGCTAAGAAGTATTACTGCTAGAATATTATATTCCAGGTATTCATGCTGATCTATGTCATGCTACTGAATTTAAAACTCATCATGTATGTGAGAATTAGAATATGCCATTTTAGAGTATCATCTTTGTATGCTTGAAATATACCCAAAAATTTTAATCCAGTGGTCCTAATAGCACTATTTATTTGATACAAAAATTGAAGCTAATGATATATAGGGCTAGAGAATAGTCCCCAACCTGAATTCAGTCCTTGGCGCCACAGGGCCTGAGTAATAACATATCCTTGGACCCTCTACACTGAATTGCCCACCTGGTTGGTCAAGTATCACCAGAGTGGTTCCTTCCCAAAAAAGAGCATCACATATTGAAATTTAAATTTTTCCAAATACAGCTTCAGATATTTTCTACTTCCAACATTGGTAATACGTGATCTGCATTTGTGCGCTGTAAAGTCTTTTCTATTTATTCTACCATAACAAGTAATGTTTAATAGTAAAGATGATGTTTAATTATGTTCAGATATCAGCAAGAATTTTGGAGGCCCATCAAAATGTAGCTCAAATGAGTCTAATTGAAGCCAAGATGAGGTTTATTCAAGCTTGGCAATCATTACCAGAATTTGGAATCACACACTTTATCGCAAGGTACGTGGTTCTGCCTGTCACTTAAATTTATACTTTAATCTGTGCCTTTTTATTTAATCTCATATTTAATTAAAAATTAAAGCTATCTGCCTATCTACTGAGGCTCATTCACAGTGAATTTAAATTTGGGAATATAATTTCTATACTAATAAATTTAGATTAAAAAAATCCTAAACAGTCTAACAGTGTATAATTAAAGAAAAAGGTCAGCATGTCTCTCAACTCCTAAGATGTCTTTAAGCATTAATCTTTAATGTTACAGATTCCAAGGGGGCAAAAAAGAAGAGCTTATTGGGATTGCATACAACCGACTGATTAGGATGGATGCTAGCACAGGCGATGCAGTTAAAACTTGGCGCTTCAGTAACATGAAACAGTGGAATGTAAATTGGGAAATAAAAATGGTAAGCTCATCACGATGTTGCTTAAATATAATTAACTAAGAATTGAAAATATTGGGGCTAAAGCAATACTACAGCGGGCAGGGTGCTTGCCTTGCATAAGGCCAAACTGGGTTTGATTCCCAGAATCCCATATGGTAGCCTGAGCAGTGCTAGGAGTAATTCTTGAGTGTAGAGCCAGGAGTAAGCCCTGAACATTGCCAGTTGTGGCTCATTTCCCCCCCCCCCCCAAATTTTTTTTAAAAGATCTATATGCATTTTGAGAGATTGTTTATACCTTTTTTTTTTCTGTAATTCTGTGCACGTGTATATGTATTGGTGCTTACAGAGCTTCATACAATCAAAGCAGGCATTCTGCCATGGAGTTGTATCTCTGGCCCCTACCCCAGTACTTTATATGTAGAAAAGTGGTTGGCCATTCATTTCTCACTTAAACTTGTGTATTTTGGTTTTGGAACACACCTGAGAGGGTTCAGAGGACCCCATATGGAGTGCTAAGGATTGAGCCTACCTGCTATACTATCACTCCAGTCCCCTAAACTTTGTAACTTTGTAATTTTTAACTAGCCTAATCACTAAAATTCTAAAAATATAATGATCTAGATGCTTAGAATATTGCTTGATCTTAAGGCCAAATTTCTATAATGGTAAAAGTCTCATCAGCACCTAATAACAGCTGTTGATTGAATGTGAATGACTGCTCTGAGACAGTCATGATATTGGTTGTTTTACTCCCTGTTTTTAAACATCACCACAGCCCAGTGAAATACATTATCTACTTGGCAAAGAGTAGTCATAAATTTAGAGGCCTGGGCCAGAGAGATATTGCAGGGATTAAGACACTTGCCTTGTATGTAGCTGATTCCCAAAAACTAAAAATGTAGAGGTGTCAGGGCCTTATTGTCCCATGACCACACACTTGGTAATATTCTGTCAGGTCCATGGAGAACAAAACCGGATGCATCTATAGCTTTCTATCACACTGCCCCCAGCCTCTATTTAAACTAGTAAGTCATTTGTTTTAGGATCATTGGGTTTGTTACTGTGTTTGGCATATCGAATACATCGTGGGTAGCTTGCACAGCGGGTAGGGCGTTTGCCTTGCACGCGGCCGACCTGGCCAACCCAAGTTCTATTCCTCCGCCCCTCTTGGAGAGCCTGGCAAGCTACTGAGAGTATCTTGCCCACACAGCAAAGGCTGGCAAGCTACCCATGATGTATTCGATATGCCAAACACAGTAACAACAAGTCTCACAATGGAGACATTACTGGGCCCGCTCGAGCAAATCGATGACCAATGGGAGGACAGTGCTAGTGCATTGAGTTTGTTGTATCAGTTCCTACAATTTTAGAATCTTGTATTCTGAGATAATTCAGATGTGATACTGTAATGATACTTAAAGGTTCAGAATATCAAATTAAACACAGGAAGTAGGTTTTTTCCCAGGACTTGAGGAGAGACATTCATTCTCATTAATTGAAATAACAGATAATTTGGGAACTTAATCCCTTGCAGTCTATCTTCCAATTCAGAACAGGAAAACTAAAAAGGGAACCTTTCTTACTCTCTTGGAATTGAAGGCATTACTAGTTTAGAAGTTAAAAAGAGTGAATGATTTAACAACTCATGAGCCGTTATACTGGAACTGAGAATTCTGTCTTTGTTCCAGGTCACCGTAGAGTTTGCAGATGAAGTACGATTGTCCTTCATTTGTACTGAAGTAGATTGCAAAGTGGTTCATGAATTCATCGGGGGCTACATATTTCTCTCAACGCGTGCAAAAGACCAAAATGAAAGTTTAGATGAAGAGATGTTCTACAAACTTACTAGTGGTTGGGTGTGAATACAGAAAATGTGTAATAAAACTCCATGGCCATAAGAATATTTAACTTTTAAAAGCTGTTTGTTATATGCTGCTTAATAAAAGTAAGCTTGAAATTTATCATTTTATCATGAAAACTTTTCTGCCTTACCAGACCAGTTAATATGTGCACTAACAAGCACTACTATTAATCTGCTATCATGAAACAGTATATGGACTTAAATATGGCACACATTCCTTAGGGCCATAAGTTGAAAACAAGTAGTGGGCAAGCCAGGAACAAAACATCACTGATTTAAGCTAGCCAAACTGTACGAAACTAAAGCCATCTATTTTAAAGCGATCCAGGATTTAAACTATATGAATTCTATTTATCATGTTTAATGCATGTGTTTTAATGTATGTTTAATTTGACCTGTGTTTAAAATTAATCCTATTTTTGGTTGCCATTTGGTTCTCCCATCCCATATAAATCAGGTCTGTGGAAGATACCTGATATTTAATAATGTCATTGTTTAACTTTGAAGGAAAATACTATTAGTCCGTTATTCTTGGTTTATGTTATTGTCCTAGAATAAGCATGTATGTATATTGTCTTTTGTTTTAATTTTTACACCATATTGTATTACAACACTTTTAGTATTCACCAGCATATTCACTGTCTGCCTAAAATATGCAACTTTTGCATTACAATATGAAGTAAAGGTCTATGAAGTATGCATTTTGTGTAACTAATGTACAAACACAAATTTTATAAAATTGTACAGTTTTTTAAAAACTACTCACAACTAGCAAATGGCTTAGATGTAGCATCTCTGCATTAATTAATGCCTTTAAGTATATAATGTGCAGTTTTAATATCTGCTAAATTAAGAATGACTTCATTATAGTCATGATTTGCCACAACGCCTTTAACTCTTAACTCCTGGACTGGCTGTGTTCTAGTCTGTTGCGCTACTACAATCTGCATTGGTGCTAGTCTGAAAATTCCTAGCTCACAAATAGCCCAAAAGGGTGCCAGGGAGGGGTGGATTACCAGTATTGTCAAATAATCCATGGTTTAAAGTCTGTATAAATGCATTTTATTTTAAATAAAAACAAAATCTTTTATTTAATGCTTCTTTTTGTATTTCTTATTTTTACTATTTAGTATTTACTTCATAGAAATGAACTTTGGGAAATGTTTTGCCTATATCTTGTTTTATTATAACTTGCTATATATCACCAAGATTATTTTGAGAAGCTCTCATTTCTCCTAACATAGATCATTTGTGACAGAGTTACTCCTGATTAAGCCCATGATAAGTTGACAATTGCATGTAAAAAATGAATTTGATGGTAGAAAATTACTGAACATCACAGCTTAGCTTGGCCAGTTCCCATAAATATGTTCAGAACTCTTATGTTGTCTTAGACGAAGCATGTTTTTGAATAAAGATATAGCTCACATAACCTAATATTGTGCTGATTGGAAGTGGTAGCTGGGACTCATGACCATGGCTAGCCTCACTAGAGGATGATGTATCTTTAGCCAGGGAAAAGATCAAAATGAAGTATAATTTCTTCTACATGTGTTGCTTACACTTTTTAATCACATAGTCAAAGAATTCTAAGCCATAAATCAAGGGCCTTCTGTACTTAAAAATCAACTGCATAGTTGATTGTCAGAATCATTGTTCTAAATAGAAATATGACTGATGAGCAGATACTGTTGGCATGGGCAGAATGTGTTTTAACAGCAAAATAGCCCTTGGTTTAACCACACATTAATAATAGATTTTGCTCCTTCTTGTTACTGCTATCATATCTGTCAAACTCAAAACTTCAATCCTGGACTTTCTCCTTTACTCTTGCATTTAATCCTGTTGTTTAGTTCTGTTGGTTTTTCCTTCATGCAACCTCATGTCTGATATCACTACTCCAGCATCACCTGAACTCAGGTCTTCATTCTATGCCTACTAGGAGGCAGTGGCCTCCTAAAGCCAATTTTGGATCTCATTCACCATGGTTTTTCTTCATACTCTAGACCAGTTCACTGTAAGTCCTGCTCCAAGATTTAAGAGTCCCTACCATTAAAAAATGTTTTTTGATTATAGATTCTTTTTCATTAGCTTAAGTCCAGGCCATCAGTAACTTGTGTAGCATTTGTTAAAAGCTTTAAACTACATTTGGACTGTCATTGCTGGAGTTCACTGTAGTAGTCTCATTGCTTTTACACAAAAAACTTTGTTACTGTCTTTCTTTCTTTGTTGGTTCACCTCACTGCACATATCCCATCCCCCTTACCCCCTCCCCTGATTATGAGATTAATTCAACCCCAGCATAGCAGGGCCAGTATTTAGCGCAGATAGTTCCCGCTTGTATACAAAGTAAAACCAAATTACCCAGTCAAGTGCTGACCTTTGTTCTATGGTTTATTTCTGAGTTCACTTTTCATCTTACTTTTTACTTTCATCTTACTTACTTCTTACTTTCATCTTACATCTTACTTTGTTCTATGGTTTATTTCTGAGTTCACTTTTCATCTTACTTCTCCCACAGTCTCACACATTTCTGCCAACTGAGTGGCTCACTCGATTCCTCTGCCCCTCTCGAAGAGCCTGGCAAGCTACTGAGAGTATCTCGCCCGCACGGCAGAGCCTGGCAAGCTCCCCGTGACGTATTCGATATGCCAAACACAGTAACAACAAAGTCTCCAATGGAGACGTTACTGGGCCCGCTCGAGCAAATCGATGAACAACGGGAGGACAGTAACAGTGAGTGGCTCACTGTCTTCACACATACTTTACATCTGCCCATCTCCATACTATTTCCTGAATCCTCTACCTGTCCAAATCTAGTATTTTGAGCATTTTACAACTTTTACATTGAATTCAAGTGGTTTTTTTTTTTCTTCCATAAATACTTTTAAGCTTTCCTGAAACAAAGAATATCCTCTTCTGAACTACCATTACTTTGGTCCTTTCTTTGAGCAGAGGGTGTGGGGTTGGGGTGTGTGTGGGGGCAGGGTGTGTGTGTGGGCGGGGTGGGGGGGGGCGAAGTGAGTTGTTCCCAAGCAGTGCTTTGTCCAGAGATACTTGGCCCAATCCCCGACAGTTCAATGTTAAAGACCCAGAGGATGCAGTGCTTGGGATTCGGTGACTGGGAGCATCAAGTCCACCTCAGAGATGCTTGGGGGACCTCTGGAGTGATACTGAGCTCTGCCTGGTATAGCTTGTAGTTTGGGGGACTAAACTGAGGTGCTATACATTCAAAGAATGCATCCCTAACCCCTGTGCTATCTCCCAGTCCCTCTTTTATTAAGATTTAAGAGCAACTATCCGTAAGACCATGTGTGTCTTATTACCCCTAAATTTTTTTCTCAAGAACTGAGTCACACTCATGGTCTGCACTAAGGTTGTGGACACATAATTACATGTTTGAATATAATTAACTGGTTATGATGGAAATGAAAGAACTTATAGCTTTGACACAGTTTAATATGGAGGAAATAAATTCTTTGCATGCCATTTGCATTTAGAATCATGCTATGAACTTTCACATACGTTACATTTTCTATTACTCAAACTCTAGATAAAACTCAAGCCAAGTAGCCTGTTTATAGTCACAACTACAGTGTCAGAGCAGATAGTGGAACTCCAGTCCAGCAGTATTAACAAACCATGAAATCTGAGGAACTATCTTGGTAGTATCTTCTGTACTGAGATATTACAGGTCCGTGAGAAAAAACTGCTGGCTGGGACTTCCTTCAGAAACTAGTTTTTGCTCTTTATGGTTCAATTTCATATGAACACGAAGGCCCTGAGGATAGGAAACCAAAAAACTCCCTTCTGACACTTGTTTCTCTTGTACCAGCAGGTTAGACACCTACTGAAAGCTCCTGGTATAGTTAATCAGTAACCTTGATACAAATGATTTTGTATGCAATCTTGAACTTAAAAAGGAGAGACCTAGAGAAATAAGCTTGCTTTTTTATTTTTTAAGCTTTATCAAGATGTAATTGAAAACAAAATGGTAAGACTTTGATAGATAACATGGAAATTTGATATGCATGTAGGAAAGGATTATGAAAGGATTCCCCACTTGGTAGCAAACCCATCCCCCAGGAGACTGGAACTCTGGAAAGTTCCCCCTCTGGTAGGAAAGAAACCACTTGCACTTAGTGGATTTTTTTCTCAGGCCAAAACACAACAATAAGGCTCACCACACTTATTACATTTCTTAGATCATAGCTTTTTAATTTTTTTAAAGTTAAAAATCTTAGTTATCCTGTCCCCAAATTTACCTGGGAAAATGCCACATATTCAAAGAAAATATTCAAAGTACCCTACAATTTATCTACATTGACATAGCAGTGTCCCAGTAAAATATTGGTTTCTTTTTTAACTTAAAACATTGTCTGATGCTCAAGAATGTATCCTAGCATATGCCTTCTATACCCATTTCTGCACCCTCTGATTCAGTTGTACATAGACTGCTGCTATTTTCAACTACTTGAAATATGGCAACATCTTCCGAGGATCCAGAAGGTAATTACTTTGAACTTTCTGCAGCTTACCCTTGGTGATAAAGGATCTCCACTAGTCCTGAGCTCTCCTAAATATATTGCCCTGCTCAACTGCCCTGTATGCTCTGCTTCATTCTAAGACACTGTTTCAAACCACTGCCACCCCAAAAAAGTTCGGGTAGTTCTTTCCAATTGTGAATTTTTTTTTAAAAAGATAAGGATGAATTGACTCTAAGCACAAACTTTAAGAGACTTGGTACACTAAGTTAGTCCTGTTCTCTTTACATAGTAACATCCAGGAAGAAGTTGTTTACTGAAGAGTTCTGTACTCTTCAATAAATTAACTGCCTTTATCTGTCTGAACTGCTTTGGTTTGGCAGAATGGGGGAGTGGAAGAGTAAGTGACAGGAAATGGGGAATTTTCAGTTTGGATAAGAGGAATGAAATTCTTAAGTGGATCATAGAGCCACCCAGAACAGGAAAAGAGTAGCAAAAAAAGGGGGGGGGAGGGGGGAACTTATCTGGTGACCTTATATCCCACTGTACTGAATCCTCTCTTGCTTTTCTCTGCTTTATTTAATAAACAATACAAAGTTTCCCAGGCTGAATGTGTACATTAAAATTTTCTATTCCCATAGGAAAGAGAACACAGTGCACAATACACACACACACACACACACACACACACATACACACACCAGTTGTTTCCTATTTTATATTTGTTCATGGAGCTATGTCTTACTAAAAATTACAAGCACTTAAAATAATTTAAGACCATTAGTTCATAAGATCTAATTATGGTCTCAATGTGGCTTCACCGGAGAGGCATTATCTGTATTACTGCTCAGGGAAGTGGTCCAAGTTCAATGTTTATTAAATTTGTGACCAAAACAGCACAACCAACCAAATATGTTTAACATATCTGTATGAATATGGTTTGTAGACTGCATGAACAAGAAAACACTTTGTATAAGCACAAATTCTCAAAGCAAATCTAAATTTTGTGAACTTTATTTTGTGATCAAGTAACATTCAAGAAAACACCTTTCTAATTGTAACTCTGATTAGCTCTTAGAAGGAACATTTGGAAAACAGGTCATGTCTATTCTGTTCGCCGAGAGGAAGGGGCCAAGAATAGCCAAAACTCTCCTAAAGAACAACAGGTCGGAGGACTAGCCTTACCAGATGCGAGAGACAAAAAAAATCCAGAAACTCACAGACAGATGAAGATAGCTCTGCAAACCTGGACACAACAGAAATGCTTCCCAGAGCATGCTGCTGCTGTTTACCTCAAGGAAACAAGTCTGGTCCACTACTATATGTGTATGCAGTGATCCATGTCAATTCCAAATAGATAAAAGACTTAACTGTGGAAAAAGTGAAACCTATAAAAGGACCTAAGGGAGCATTTATATGACACTGAAAGATATTTATGTAGTAAGAAACAAAAAGTGCAGACCAATTATTGAAATGAGAAGTAAAAAGGTACTATAAAGTGCAAAAAGGCAAATTAGGAAAAGAGATTTGCCGCACACAATTGACAAAGGATTCACATATGGAATCTTAATACATGTTCACATATCAAGCTAAAAGAAAAATGGAC